TTTCCACCAGAATGGTTTTTGCTGACAAATCGATGAATACCACTTTCCATAACATTATTGACAACAAACAATTATACTGTGGTGGGAGACATACTAGTAAGAAAATTAAGAAGATATCTGACATCACTACCGTTAAAAATCTACATAACTACATTAATCTTGAACATTGAAAAGATAGATGTATTTGGTTAGTGAAGCAACTAACGTAATTAACCCAACGGAGTTGATATCATTGATTATATATACACTAAAACATGTGTAGTCTGGAGCAATATATTACATAGATCCCTCGATACGCTGCCATTCCCCTCTACTAGAAACTAACACTCGAAAAAATCCCGTATACATACTCATTCTGGATAAGTGTAAGGAAAGTATCAAACACATAAATATGTTAAATATACGGAACAAATACACATAAATACCCTAATTTTAACTCTATGGAATAGCACTTCGGAGTATATGGATATTCTAGACTAGACTTTTTCAGTCTATAATTCACTTTTTCAGCCTGGAATGTACTAGATCTTAGATGTAGGAAGGTTCTGTCAATAATCTAATGCCCACACCAGATATGGACCGAACTGTCTCACGATGTTCTGAACCCAACTCACGTACCACTTTAATAGGCGAACAACCCAACCTTTGGAACATACTATAGCCCAAGTGGCAAAGAGCCGACATCGAGGTGTCAAACCTTCCTATCGATGTGAGCTCTTGAGGAAGATCAACCTGTTATCCCTAGAGTAACTTTTATTCGTTGAGTGACAACCCTTCCACTCGGCACCGTCAGATCACTAAGGCTGACTTTCGTCCCCACTCAACGGGTGGGTCTTGCTGTCAAGCTCTCTTTGGCATGCTAACATCCATCATGCCTCCCCATGCACTCATTTTTTTCAATATATGAGAAAAAAATAAAATTAAGAGCTTGTTTTTCCTATTAATTGATTTACACATACATATAATCACACAAATACATATAAAGACACATATATTTGTCAGCACCCTAAAAATATAATTCAAAGTAGTTGAACTTGGTTGCCAAGATTATTTAGTAGCATTGTGTTTCTTAGTAGCCTCTGAACTGTGACCCTATAAATATTTGCCAGCGCCTTGCTCAATAGATCCTATACACACACAAAACAATCAAATTGAAAAGAAGGGTTTAAATTCAAATTTCGAGAAGCATCAACAACAACCCTACCTTTATACATAAAATCACCCCCGTCTATAGGGTATTTATAAGAAGGAAGACGGTTGGCTTTTATATGTAATAAATTACAAATTTGGTTATTGTCAGCACCAGAAGACCCATTTCCACCAGAATGATTTTCCTTGACAAATCGATGAATACCACTTTCTATAACATTATTAACAACAAACAAATGTACTGTGTTAGGAGACAGAATAGTAACAAAATTAAGAAAATATATAACATTACTATCATTAAGAATCTGTACAACTACATTTAATCTAGAACATTGAAAAGATAAACATATTTGGTTAGTGAAGCAACCAACGTAATTAACCCAACAGAGTTGATATCATTGCTTATATCTACACCAAAACATGTGTAGTCTGGAGCAATATATTGCATAGATCCCTCGATACGCTATCAGTGCCCTCCACTAGAAGATGACAATCGAAAAAATCTTGTAACACCCCGACTCTCAGGTATTAATTTTTACAGCTTAATTTTTCATACTGAAAGGTCTACTCGACGAGATGATGCCCTGACTCATCGAGTATGAACTTTTGAAACCACATGTTTTAAATGACCAACTTGTCGAGTCGGATACATGACTCAGTGAGTTAGAGTTGGAGGATGAAACCCTAATTTTTAGGGTTTTGCACCCTATTTAAAGGGTCATTAGCCTCCCTTATAGCCCCTTGTGAGTCCAGAAACCCTAATTCGTGTGTATGCTCCATTCTTGTGTGATTTTCAAGCTTGGAAAGTGTTTTGCAAGGAGAAGACTTGAAGTATAAGAGGAGTAGTGCAAAAGGTGGTAGTGGATCTAACACTTCTGCTTCTTGGCATCAGTTTGAAGGTAATAAGTCGTTACCTTGAAATTCTTTCCTTCTAGTTGAAGATTATGGATTTTTTTAGCATATTTATGTTAGCCATTTGGGTATGGGCTAGGATCTGAAGTTGCAACTTCAGATCTAAACTTACCTTGGTCACTAAGTCTATAAAGTTTCCACCGTTAGCAAGTATGAACCTTCTCTTGTGAGTTAAACCCCATTACAAGCTTGGATTTGACATTCTAATCCTTTAGAACCTTGCATGCACGTAAAGTTTGCAACTTTACATGATGAACATGCCTTAGGAAGCTTGATTTGCAATATGGAGCTTTGGAATGGCTTAAAAAGCATCTAAATGGAGAAAGGACTAAAGGGACTCGACGAGTTGCATGGACAACTCAACGAGTCCAATGAAGATTGTCGTGCAAGGACTTCTTCATGGACTCGGCGAGTCAGTCGGGTGACTCGGTGAGTCAGCTAGGGTTTTCCCGACATTTGGACATGCATGAACTCGACGAGTTTCAGGAAAACTCGACGAGTCAACTGGGGATTTCACGACTTCTCGAGTTCAGGATGGACTCGACGAGTCAGGTCAACATGGATTGTTGACCTTGACCATTGACTTGGATTTTGACCAAGGGTTGACTAGTTGACTTCTGGGGTATTATGGTAAATTAGATATTTATGAAAAGGTCTTATAGTAAATATAGGTGGTGGAGTTCATGGCCGTGGTCTGAGAGTTTGAGTTATCACTTCAATTCGACAGTTAAGAGGTGAGTTATCCTCACTATACTAACAGGGTCAAAGGCACCAATGCCGAAGCTTATCAGATTTGTATCCTGGTTTATTGCATGATATGTTTATTGATTTACATCCTAGTACTTAGGGTGGTGATATGCTTAGTGACCTGGTTAGGTCGGTATCATGGTAGATAGGATGATGCTATGTTAGTGATCGGATAGGTCTGTATCCTGGTAATAGGATGTTGCTATGATTAGTGATATGTTATATCGGTTTGACTTATATATATATATATATATATATATATATATATATATATATATATATATATATATATATATATATATATATGCTAACGTATGATATGTATGTGCACATGTTTGTTGATTGGGGGTTGAGTTGAGGTGGTCCTGCATTGTGCTGAAGGCCAACATACCAAAGGCGGTTTGGATAAACTGAAGGCCCTGCAAAGAGGTTCGGTTAGGCCGAAGGCCTAGCGAGCGAAAGTATCAAACACATAAATATGTTAAATATATGAACAAATACACACAAATACTCTAATTTTAACTCTCTAGAATAGCACTTCGGGATGTACGACCATTCTAGACTACACTTTTTCAGTCCAAAATTCACTCTTTCAGTCTGGAATGTATTGGGTGTCAGATTCTGGACCTAATTCCTACAAACCACCAACAACTTCAGAACAAAAAATAAATACTTTGGAATATCGTATTTTGAAATACTTTGGACGATCCAATTCCGAATTGATGTTACGTGCTCCAGAATAGGATATTCCGGAGAAATGGTCATTTCTAAAAAACGTTACTTCTATAAATAAATTCGTTTATAAATGTTAGTTTACTCAATTTCTACCGAAGAAGACCAAATGCACCACAAAAAACATATTTTGAGAATTGTGCAAATTAAAAAATAATTATAGACCAAACGATTATCTCAAACCATATTTGCCGTTTGTTTAGCCTGCTTTAATTTCTTAGGGAAAACTACAATAAAGTCCTTACATATTGGCCTCATAATCGATTTTGTCATTATATCTTTTTTTTATTTAATTTAACCCTTTTACCCGGTCAACAAGTCATTAAAATTTCCAAAATTGCATTGTTGGCCCAGATTTCAAAATTTATTACAAATCTGGTCTAAAAAATGCATACATACATTCATTTTACAAAAAAATATATACAAACACTTATTTTATTATAAATATATTTGTATGAAAACACATATTTATATAAAAATATATGTACAAACACCTATTTCATAGTAAATATATACATTTCTTTTGTAAAAAAAAATATTTATATGCATCCAAATAAGTTTGTGTATACATTTCTTTTGCAAAAACATATATATATATATATATATATATATATATATATATATATATATATATATATATATATTTTATAAACACTTATTTTATAATAAATGCATTTATATTTAAACACGTTTATATATAAAATGTATATGAAAATAAGTGTTTGTTTACATTTTTTTAATAAATGTGTTTGTAAGCAAATATATTTATAATAAAATATGTGTTTGTATATATTTTTTATACAAACTGATTTATATATATTTATATACTTAATAAATACCTATTTTTATAAATAGATATTTCATAGACAAAAAAGTTTTTATATAGAAAATATAATATTTTTATATGAAAATATATATATTTTTTTGTATAAATATGATTTTATAAAGAAAAAATATATTCGAAATAAATTTTGAAAAAAGTAGTTGTAAAAAAACTAAAATTATGATAAATTTATAATAAAATTCTAAAATTTTGGTCAAAATGGAAAAGTTGGGACTAAATTTGTAATATAATATAGAATCTGAGATAAAAGTGTAAATTTTGAATCAAATTTATAATAAATTTTAAAATTTAGATAAAAATATAATTTTTGAAAGTTAGATTATAAAAAGGATTAAATTGAATGGACTTTAATTATAAAAAAAAATACAAGATAATATGGTTTTATTACAGTTTTTCCAATGAGAAATTATGATAAGTGTCATCTTTCTATATTTTTTAAACTAAATCATTAACACTATATTAGGAATATATCAAATATAATTAAATTGAATGGTGATTTGTCATAATTTTAGTGGGTCGAAATAATTATAGGAATAAAAGGTAGGAGTCAATTTAATTTCTCTTTTCCAATTTCTTATGCTGTAAAATAAATGACCATGAATCTGCATCCAACGTGGTGCAGAGGCGTAGGGTTTTATTGAGGTTTTAGTTGGAACATAAAAGACGAGGCGAAAAAAGGGTTCGCACTTCACAGTTCAGACCAAACCAGATTCGGTAAAATCTCCCTCACTTCCAATAACAGCTAACATACCGTATTTCTCCGCATATATCATCTCCCTTTTTCTCTTTTCTTCTTCGTATAACATTGATTACTTGATACAGAACACCCAATTCTCCAACTTATGGCAGACGACGATCATAAAGGCGAACTTGAAGACTCTCCAGCAATTATAGCACTTGGCTCCCTCCTTAAGCTCACCGAAATCCATTTTTGGTATGATTCAGTGTTTCACCTAAAGAATTTGATGGATGTGAAAAGGGCATTTTTAATTTCATATTTCCAATACCTGGTGGAAACTTGGTTATGTCGATATTTATGCCTAATTGTCAACAAAATCAATGTACGGAAATGATGGGAAAGAAATTGCGAAAGAGAAATTTAGTAAAATATTGTTATCTGTGTTGTTACAGGGTCGATCTTTATACGGGGATACCATATGATTCAACTTATCTAGAGTGCAAAGTAAGTCTGTGTCTTCATTTAATCCCTCCATTTCTCAGTAAGGTCGATAGTTCTTGAGTTAATTGAACTTAACACTTTTGTCATGCAGGAAACGGCCATGGATGAAGTCATCAGCTCAATCAAGACAGGTTCTGATTTGATACAATGTTGGGATATTTTATGCTTGTTATGTTCTAACAAAAATGCAATTTCATGATTATATCTTGTTGTGTGTTTCAGAAAGTAGTTCTGTATCTGTTGAGACTGAATTGTCTAGGCAGATGAATGAACTAGGGCTTCCTCTTTCCTTCTGCACAAACAAGGAGGTAAGATATATCTTTTTTGTTTCTTTGTGATTAAATCAATCATCAATTCATGGTTTTTTTTAGAATGATCTGTTGTTTCCTTTGTTGCAATTTTGTCTATCTAGGAGACATTGCAATCACATTTCCTTAACTTGGAGGCATTCATAACCATATTCAAATCACAAAGGTGAAAAAGTTAACCAAATTTTTTCAACTTGAGGTGAAAGAGACTTGTTAGTTGTCACACACACACTGATTTTGCTATCTTGGGAATCTTTATTTGTTAAATTCTATTTCATGATGCATTTTTTTTTCAATTTGTAATTAGCTTATAAGGGGTTCACAATTCTCACTTTATATCCATGTAGGAATAGCTATTACTTATTAACACTAACTACCATCTCTTTTCTTTACAATGATGCTTAAATTTGTTTTCCAGAAGAGAAATGGAAAGGTTAGAGGAAATAGAAAGAATGGAAACAAGAAAGTTATGTATACTTATGAAGAAACCATAGATGAAGCTTCATTAAATAGTTCTATTCTCACAAAAGATAACATGCAAACGGAAGCTACTCCAGAACATGTTAATGGTGGAACTTGTAGTGATATGATTGTTGATGACAAAAGTGAGAATCCAAAAGATGAAATGATTGATTATACAATTGATAGTGGAAGAAATAATGAATCTGGAGATTGGATGACATATTGGGATGAGTTTTATGAAAGAAACTACTATTACAATAGTAGAACACATGAGTCAACATGGGAACAACCTTCAGAAATGGCAAACTTAGATTCTGTTTATGTGTTAAATGAGTTGAAAGAGATGGTGTTTAAAATAGATGATGAAGGTGATGCTATTAGAAATGATATCAAAGAGGAAAATTCAGGTGTTTTGCAACATGATTGTAGGCTTTCAACTACTGTTTCTGATGATAAATTTAATGAGCTTTTGAGTAGTAAAGAAGTTGATGGAAATATGCATCTCACACCAGAGAAATTGTGTAATGAAGCTGATGATGTTGTTTACAAAAGAAAAAAGAAAGTGAAACGAACAAAGGCACACAAGAGATCATCTGTTGACAATAAAGGTTTCTTTTACTAAGCATGTAATTGACTTTTAAACCTGATTAAGGAGACAAAATGACAAAAATGCCACAACTTTATAGGCAGTGTTATGATATAATAAGAAACAAACTGAAAGTATTGTAATAGAAAGAAGGGTTAATCACTTAATCTCATAAAAGACCTTATATTTTGTGTCTTTTCCGGATTAAACCTTTACTTTAGTTTTTTCTTGAAAAAAGACCTTGCATTTTTTTGTTCTTCATTTTTCTCCCATCTGGCCCTTTTAGTCTTTTTTTCAGAAAAACTTTGCAAAATGTGAGGGCTTTTTCAAGAAAAACTAAAAAACTCGAGGGTTTATTTGGAAACAATTAGACAGTTGAGGGGTTTTTTCGGAAAAAATAAAAAATACAAGTTCTTTTTCAGGAAAAAAAAAAGAGATAGATTTAATCTGGAAAACACACAAAATATAAAGCCTTTTATGAGATTAACCATAGAAAGAAATTAAAGTAGAATGCTAATATGCTATTTATAATACACAAACAAATGGAAAAAAAAATGTAGTTATTTCTTGCATTCATCACTTTTTTTTTTTTTTTTTTTTTTTTTGGATATTATAATTTGATAGCTTTTGATATCATCAAGATTTATTGTAGTTTCCACAGAGGCTGAATTTGAGGTGTCAAAGGATCCAATTATTAGCAAATATTGGTGTCAAAGATACTTGCTTTTTTCCAAATACGATGATGGAATAAAAATGGATGAAGAAGGTTGGTTTTCTGCAACTCCGGAATGCATAGCACGGCATCACGCATTCCGATGTCGGAATGGAATCATTGTCGACTGTTTTACTGGAGTTGGTGGGAATGCAATCCGATTTGCATCAAAGTAAGTTCAATTTTACTCGGTTTCCAAAAGATACCCTTTCCATAAATAGCAATCTACTTTCATTTATCTGTTTTTTATAATTAATTTCTATAAAAGTTAAATAATATATATATATATATATATATATATATATATATATATATATATATATATATATATATATATATATATATATATATATATATATTTACTTAATTTCAGCAGCATCCACACAATTGCAATTGATATTGATCCAAAGAAGATCGAGTATGCTCAACATAATGCATCCATTTATGGAGTCAAACATCTTATAGAATTTATAACAGGCGACTCTTTCATTTTAGCCCAAAAGTTAAAGGTATCAAAGTGTAATATTTACATTCCTTTTTTTTTTTTTTTTTTTTTTTGTTTTGCATCTAACCTTTTAATATATAGGCAGACACTGTGTTCTTGTCTCCACCCTGGGGTGGGCCCCACTATGCTAAAGCAAGAAACTTTGACATCATCACTATGCTGAAGCCACATAACGGGTTTTTCACTTTCTAGCTATTTTTCTTTTTTATTTTATATTTAAATGGCTTCAAAATTGAAATACTAATAACTAATGTAGTTTTATTGACTTATGTTAGACAATTTCTTTTCAATGTGGGGAAACAAATAGCTCCAAGAATCGTTATGTTTCTTCCAAGAAATGTTGACGTCAACCAACTTGCTGAGCTGTCACTTTCTGCTAATCCTCCATGGAAACTTGAGGTGCTTTACTTATGTGTATGATTGAATGAATGAATGAATATATGGAGTGATGATAATTGTGTATGATTGATTTTTCAGGTTGAAAAGAATTTTCTGAATGGCAAGTTGAAGGCTATTACTGCCTACTTCACGGATCCATCATTGTGATTTTGGTCGTTGATATTTAAATGTTGTAGATTGTATATGAAAATTTAAACATGTGTTGATATTTTATTTGAGTTTGGATATAAATATTCGAAATACAAGCATTGGATTTTTGGGATTGAAAATAAGCCATGGTTGAATACTTTAATTGGAATTTAACCCTAAACCCTAAGCAAATAGATCTTAGGATCTGTTAGAAGTTGTTTCTGTTTAAGGTAGATTTCGAGAAAGCATTGGATTCATTAAACTGGGATTACTTAGACTTGGTTATAGAACATATGGGTTTCAACAATAAATGGAGATGCATGTTGGATACATGGTTGTCTTGAGACTTGAAGAGCTTCTGTCCTTGTTAACGGGTCTCCTACGAAAGAGTTCACTATTTCAAAAGGAGTTAGACAAAGGGATCCTTTGTCCTCATTCCTTTTCATCATAGCTATAGAAGGATTATATCAAACCATCAAATGTGCCCTGAACAAAAATCGCATATCAGGTATAACTCTTCCCCAAAATGGTCCATCTCTTTCACATCTATTCTATGGAGACAATGCAATATTTGTTGGAAGATGGGATACCATGAGCATAAAGAACCTTGCTAGAATCTTGAAATGCTTCCATATTATCTTTGGTTTAAAAGTAAACTTCCAAAAATCTCGATTATTTAGGATCTATGTTCCAGATGATGAACTCCAAAGGCAAGCACAAGTATTATGTTGTATCCGAAGTTCATTCCCATCCACCTATCTTGGAGTACTTGTTGGGGAAAACATGTCATTAAAGAAGCATGGGAGACCAATAATAGAGAAATTTCAGTCGCGACTATCGATGTGGAAAGCGAAGAGTATGTCATTTTTGGAGTTCGTCTCACCTTAATCAAGTCTCTTCTCAATAGCCTCCTCACCTATTATTTCTCCCTTTTTATTACACCCGCCAATATCATTGAAGATCTCGAAAAATTAAGAAGAATATTTTTATAGGGCGGTAACACTACCAAATCAGCTATACATCAAGTGTCATGGTCAAGAGTGGTGGCAACAAAAACTGATGGGGTCTGGGTGTTGGTACATTCAAGACCCAAAATTTGGCACTCTTGACAACATGGTGGTGGAAACTTAAAAACGGGCCCGATAGCTTATGGAAAACGTGCACAAACTGCATATATATATATATATATATATATATATATATATATATATATATATATATATATATATATATATATATATATATATATATATATATATATATATATATATATATATATATATATAGTCACAAACATTGCAAAGGAAATGAAAAATGGAAGTTGGTGCAATATTGCAAAAGCAATCAAATCTTGTGTGAATTTAATGTCAAACCACCACGACATATTTTCTATAACCCCAGTTCAAACACAAGCTTCTTGTTTTGGAAGGATGGATGGTGTGGACCTCTTACACTCCAAGAATGTTTTCGATGTCTTTATGTTATGGAAAAAGCAAAGTTTTGCTCAATCACAAACAATATCACCACTACAGGCTTTACATGGAATTGGAAAACACAACATATGGTTGATGAGGCTGCAAATGATTTTCAGAGCTTATGCTCTTTACTTTGTAATGTTAATATAATTCCCGTTGCTAATGGTTTTCATTTAAACTGGAATTTGGATGACAAATACACGGCAAGTACCTTAAAGAAGTTGCTATAATCAAAAGCCCTTAAACCACACTCTGATGTGCAAATCAATTGGTCAAAGATTGTCCCACTGAAAATAAGATGTTTTATATGGAGTCTTGATGATTAGAATATGGGTAGCTACAAACTTGGAGGTAAGGGGCGTAAAAGTAGAAACGGATATGTGCCCTCTATGTAAGAAAGAGAAAGAGACATGTGATCACTTATCGATTAGATGTGAAGTCGCTGTGGAGACTAGGTCGCGGATCTTTAAATGGTGTGGCATCCCTGTCACCACGTTCAATAACGTGATATATTTCATCAGATTTGCGAGAAGTTGGGGAAATTGTAAACTCGAGAAGGAAAATATAAATTGTTGGATTAGGTATCTAAGTCGATAACTATAATCGGTATGTACTTGAATTTATAGTAGCATAGTCCTTTTAGGTTGCATTCATACTAGCAACTTGACATGATGACTTTTGGAGAGAAAGATTTAATTTATTATTTGGAATAATAAATTAGTATATAAAATGATTTTCAATGTATTATGAAAATAATATATTAATTAGAAATCATATTATTAATTAACATTTGATCAGAAATTAATTTGGAATTAATTTTGGGATTAAAGGAATTAATTAAAATTAAAGGGGTTGTTTAGCAATTAATAATAGTTGTGGATTTGGGCTCTTGGACCATCCTAGAAGGATGTATGAAAATTTCTAGGGATGACTGTCACACCCCCAAACCAAGGATGGCGGAAACGTCCGGGGGTGGAGGACTTCATGTACAGTATCACAACAACGTGTATAATAGTGCTCAAAGTAAAATGCAACCATCATAAATATAATTGAAAAAGTTACACCAAAGTATAGGTTTACATGTTTCAAAATCAATTACATTATGGTGACAAAAGTAAATTGTTGACGGTTTAACGTCCCATCCTCAAAGCGCTGAAATTTTCCTGTTTCATTGATTTCCTGAGAATACAAGTAGTTTTGAAAAAGTGTCAACAATTAAGTTGGTGAGTTCATAAGAGTTTTGTTTGAAGTAGAAAAACGTTTCCTTGTAAAATCGATAGAGTTTGATTTCCAAAAAATCCAATATTTTCTTAGTTAGATGTGAACATAATATTCCTATATGATGTATTAATGACCCTAGAATGACCCGTAGCATTCTCCTGTAATCGTCCAGCGTATATAAGTTATATAAGGTTTAAATTAGATAAAACGTTGAATATAGTGGGTCTGCCCTAGGTCCACAACCCAACGAGGAACAGGAGATGAGGTGGGCCCTACCAATTCTAAGCCAATCGAGACTAAATTCTTATATGACTCAAACATATACGCTCAAAGATTATAGTTGAAGTCTAGCAATTCTAGATGAAATATAGTTTTAATATCATAATAACTATCTTAAGTGAACCTGGTACTTTGTATCGGTACCCCCTTTTTGTATAAAGACCCGACACTTTGTATTTGTACCCCTTTTGTGTATAAACCCGACACTTTATATTTGTACCCCTTTTTGTATAAAAACCGGCACTTCGTATTTGTACCCCTTTTTGTATAAAGACCCGACACTTTGTATTTGTACCCCTTTTTGTATAAAAACCCGGTACTTTGTATTTGTACCCCTTTTGTGTATAAACCCGGCACTTTGTATTTGTACCCCTTTTTGTATAAAAACTGGCACTTTGTATTTGTACCCCTTTTTGTATATAAACCCGACACTTTGTATTTGTACCCCTTTTTATATATAAACCCGACACATTGTATTTGTACCCTTTTTTGTATAAAAACCCGGTACTTTGTATTTGTATACCCTTTTGTATATAAACCCGACACTTTGTATTTGTACCCTTTCTTTTTTGTACGAGTGTGTTATGTAAATGATCATAAACTATACCTATTATAGTTTATTAAAATGTTTGAAATGTATATGTACCCTAACTATACCTATTATAGTTTAGTATGTTTATTTGTGGTGTTTAAGAATCCCATCCTATGTAAGTCAAATGTATAGTACAATATAGCTATGTTTATCTTGCTTTGTTTGGTACTAATGGTTATGATGGAGGATTCTTATAAATTAAGTAAGTAATTTCCTATTATATAAATATATCATAACAAGAAATACATGTAATATATGAAGTCATCAAAGACTTAACACTTTGCTCAACTTGTTACAAAGTGTTTTGATAGTTAGAAGCTGTTAACTAATTCTTAACCTTTCTGCACTGTTTTAGAAAAATCATAGCAAAATCATACGAAGTCGAAAACTAGATCCGTAAATTCTGAGAGTTCCTAAAATGAGTCTAGTTTACTCATCATTTTTATCATGATTTTTGGAAGCCTTTAACTTGTATTAATATACTCATATTCTCAGACTGGTCCGGATTTGTGTTTGAAAACACAGGCTGTTTTGTAAAAGTCACGATAAATTGTAGAAAAATTGTGTGGAGATGTGAAAGTAGTCATTTTAAAGCTAAGAAGTGGAACTACTTGTACCTAAAAAAAATTTGAAAACTAAAATGTTTAAGTTGTCCAAAACAGTCCGTGAATGGAGTTGAACTTTTTTGATGACGGCTGTTAGAAAAGTTTAGTTATGTTCTTGGTGTTTGAACTTGTATTCCCCCCTAAAAACTTGAGAAAACATGAAAATGTAGGGGTGTGAACTCACCTTAAGTGATTTCAGTAGATAAGTGTTGAAGAAGAGAAGTGTTCAACCCAAGAACACTTGAAGAATCACTTGAAGATTCGAAGCTCTAACACAAATATGATGGAGTTTGTGTAAGATATCCATGATTTGAGTAGAAAGAAGTGAGATATTCATAAGGAGAATGAATTATGCTTACCAAATGTGGAGGAAAACCCAAGATCATCCCTTGAATCTCGAATTTCTAGAGAGAGGAAGTGAGAGAGGAAAGAGTTTGATCTTCTTGGTGAAATGAGAGAAAATGGGAGAAATGAGGAGAGAGGATGAATGTCCAGCTCTCAAAAACGTGGGGAAAGGGTGATAATTGAGTGGAAAGGACATTGATGTGACCTAGGTAAGGTGGGGAGGTGTGGCTGGTCATAGAGTGGGTGTGGGAGTGGTTGCTTGTGTCATAAGGTAAAGCAAAGTCAACACTCCACCTCTTTATACTTTACCCACTAGCTTTTATTATTTAAATAAAGATTTTCATGAAAATATGATTAAATTGTGAATATTTAGGGTTCATTATGTTAAAATATAATTTTGGGTGAAAATCCCACGTTAAAATAATTAAAAATGGGCTTAAAACGCAAAACTAGTCGAAAACCGGGAAGAAAAGCATTCCCAGCGAGACCTCTCGGTCCTAGGCCGAGGTTCGGTCCCTAGGCCGAGATTCGGTCCTTGCTGATGCCGAGCAGGAAGCGAAAGGAGCGAAATAGAAGGAAGCGAAGGGAGGGCTCGGGTTCGCATGCCAGGCTCGGTCTGCAGGTAAGAG